TATATATAGTTGGCTTATTCAAGTTAGGATCCAAAGAAGGCCTTACCTTGTAGTTGCCTAATATGACGCTTAAATCTCTATCTGTAAGTTCTTCCTCCTCTCTTTTTAATGGCTTCACAATTTATTTGTCAGTGATGACATAGGGTCTCTCACATTCTAAAATTTCTTGATTACAACCCTGTGGTATCATTTAACGTATTGCTCTATCCCCAGTCTTCAGGTTCAATATTTTTCAAGAAAACCCCTAATTGGTATCATGTGCTTTCATCTAGAGACACAATACCAGGCTGTTGCTCTTTTTTGTGATGCCAGCAGTCATTGGGGATGACAGCATGGTTCCATTATTGCCTATGAGGCTGAAAATTTATGATATTCTAATTCTATCATCCATCATTATTATTGAGCTGGAACTCTTCAATATAAAAAGAAACATTCCCAAATAAACCACTGTGTTACCCTGAGGTACAGTTGCAAAATTAAGGCAGGAAAAAATGCTCCATTTTTTCTCTTTATTTGCTGGTTTGCAAAATTGTGAGTTGGTTCTCTGTCTCTCTTTCGATCCATTTCATGGTGGTGTTGATTTGCTGCAGCTTCTGCGGTGGTTTTGTGCTTTACCTGTGGATTTCCACACGGTTGATGTGTCTTGCTCCATTGTTGTCTGTTGTCTGTGTTTTCCGCATGGATGTGAACACAGATGATGTGCTTCCATTCCACGTCATCATTCTTACTGAAGCCCCGAGTGTGTGGGGCTCCTCCGAGGAGACCCAGCACCCTTTTTTCTTGCTTCCTGGGGTTGAGTAAGGTGATCTGGGATCTTCTCATATATTTCGTGCCCCAGATCAGGAGTCAGCCATTACTCGAAGAATCCCTGCTTTGTTTTAGTGGATAGGTGCTCAGCAGTCACAGCGTGGGTGGTAAGTACATCCATTGCTACTAGTTAAGTTCTTTCAGGGCTTGTTCAGTTGGCAGAGGTGGAAAATGTATCTTTTAAGTGAAAGCATATTGGGCATCTATGATGATATTTTCAATTCAAATTTAAGGTTGCAGGGATTTTATTTAAATTCTTTTATATTTTTCTCTCTTAAGCTGAATATATTATTTCTTGTTCATGTTAACGTAATTTATTTGATTTCTCCTAGAATTTACTTAAGTAGCTTCCAAACAAAATACCAAAGTTATTATTCACAATATAATTACTGAAAAGAAAATAAAATTTATTTGATGTTATTTACATCCTTAACATATATACCATTAAGATGTACAGCCAAGTAACTGCTTTTTATAGTAACTTAACCTGATGTCCCTCTGTGAGGGTTAAACCAACAACTCAATGCATAGGTTTATTTGCCTCACTTTGCTTTTGATTTTGAAAAAGAATCACATTAAAAACAAAATCATGCCAAACCACAGAAAATGACTTAATATTTTAATATATGTGTTTCTAGTCATTTGCTTACATAAATGTTGTTTCAAAAAAATGGAACCATATTTTCATAAGGCTTGATATTTGCTTTATTCACCCCAGAGTGTATCATAAACCTCTTCCCATGTCATTAACATATTTCTAAATCATTATTTTAATACCTTCATAGTATTCTACCATTTAGATAAATTACAACTCTCTCAGCTAATTCCCTACTGTTGACCATTTAAGTTGTTTACAATTTCTCACAACTTTAAATGACATTGTGATGAATATCCTTGGGACCAAATATGTCCACACATTCCCAAATTTTACTGTTTTAGGGTAAATTCCCACAAACGTATTTGCTGAGCCAAAAATAAAAATAAAATAAAATAATCACTTTAAGACTTTTGCCTCATGCAGCTAAAGTGTTCTTGTGAAGTATTTCAGAGTTTCCACATCTGCAGACTCTCACCAACATAAGGAATTAGCATATTAGCATAGCTTTTTTTTTTTTTTTTTTTTTCAGATGGAGTCTCACTCTGTCGTCCAGGCTGGAGTGCAGTGGCACGATCTCAGCTCACTGCCACCTCCACTTCCCAGGTTCAAGCAATTCTCGTGCCTCAGACTCCCAAGTAGTTGGCACTACAGGCACATGCCACCACATCAGGCTAATTTTTTGCATTTTTAGTGCAGACAGGGTTTCACCATGTTGGCCAGGCTAGTCTTGAACTCCTGACCTCAGGTGATGCACCCACCTAGGCCTCCCAAAGTGTGGGGTTTACAGGTGTGAGCCATTGCGCCTGGCCAGCATTCATTTTTAATGTATCTAATGTGAAAGGTTAACATAGCCTGTGATGGTGGCTTATGTAGACACTTCTTTAAATGGATTACTATAGGCATTCACTTATTCATTTTTTAATTCAACAAAACTGTAAATCAGGATTCACCATTTGCCACACTGACCAACATAGACACATCCCCCCACTTCATGGGGCTCAGAGTCCAGTGGAGAAAAAAGACATTTGAGTGACTCAGCTGTGGGAGAGCAATGCAAAGCATCAAGAAGGTGCTTAACAGCAAGACCAAGCTAGACACAGCCGGGGCAAGTGGGCATCACAAAGAATGCAGGGGTTTACGCTGAGACCAAAAGGATGAGTGAGCCACAACTAGGAGGTGAGCAGGTGACACATAGGGAGAATGACCCAGAGAGAAAACAGCATGTGCAAAAGCCCAGGAGTATGAATCATATTTTTTCTTAATAGGCAAATACTCCATTCGTGAAGGAGGACCTGGAACTGCAGAGACCCATCTCCTGCATGCCTACTCTATGCAGAACCCAGTTCATGTGAAACACCAACGGTGTCATTAACGATCCAAAAGGAAATACAGCAAGACCTCAGCATCTTGTCTCAGACGTCTCCTGCAGGTGCTTCTGTCTCCATCATCTTTGCCAACATAAGCAACAAGCGCTTCTTCATCATCCCTAACATTCTCCAAGTCAAATCGCGTGATTGTGGTGATTTACAACAGCTGTACATCCAGGGCAGCTTAGAAAGAGAAATCTTTATAATGATACAGGCTTGCTGTTATTTAAATATTTACCAACATTAAACACCAAAGGGCTGTGCAAATGATCCAGGGATTCATATTGTTCTAAGCTAATATTCTTTGTACAATATTATGCAAATTGCATAAACTTTATTTTGTTGTTGTTGCTCCAAGCGGTGTATCCCAAGGCAGCCATTCACTAAGTTGAAGCAGATAAAGTTTTAATAATAAATAGTGATGATAAATAAGTCACAAAGTTTGTGCAATGCTAATGTACTCACTCACCCTAGGGTAGTTTATTAGATAAACAAGTAACATTTCCTGCTTTGCTCTTGCTGAAGTGGCTTCATTTTCCTGGAAATGTTTGTGCAATAAATTATTTCAACCCATTAGGTGTTAACGAACAAATCATATTCACTTGCAATCTGTCGTGAATTGCTGAGAATTGAGATTTAAACACTGAAATCATACATTAATTTTTCTTTACAACAACAAAGCTGGTTAAGAGAAATAAAACTTGGCTGAAATGGGAACAAAACAGTATGTCTGATGCTGAATATTTTAAGGCTGCAAAGGAGGCTGCAAATGGTTTCATTAATATTCAGAACACTGGGTGCTCATGACAACGAGAAAATGCAAGTAACAACCCCATGCCTTGGGAATACCATTGGCAGCAATGCGTCCGTGCAGGCAGCACGTCTGCCCACACGATGCCATTGTTGGGTCAGGAAGGGTCAGGGCTCCACGCACCCGTGTGGTGGCCTGGAACAGGCTGAGCTCCCTCTTGGCATCTGCAGGGCAGAATTGGTTCCATGCCCCATGGTATCATCTGTCTGTGCTCATAACAACCTGCTTCTGTTCAGAAGGGTGATTAGAAAATATCTTGGAAAATGCAGGCAACAGCAAATAGCTGGAAACAAATGTGCCTGAGAAGGTGGGAGTCTGAGGGAAAACGCCATCCGTCTGTACAATAAAGGTGTCTACAGCTACGAAAGAGGAGGCAAACCCATATGTTCTCAAATTGATTTCCAAGATATGCTTTTTAAAATTTCTAGCATGAATTTTATGGAAGAAAATCATGCTTACAGAAATGTGCACAAACCATATGTGATGATGAATTTTCACAAAGTCTACACATTGGGCAGCCAACAGCTACACCAGGGAGCAGGACATTGTAGGCAACCACCCAGGGTTTCTCTTACACAGGATGACCACCATCCTAACGTGTGACCTCACAGCTAAGTCCTGGGGCCATTTACACTTTCACCTCTGGATTCTTTTAGTCAAGATGATGTCTGTGATACTTGCCCACTTTGTCGGGGACAGCTGTAGTTTGTTCGTTCTTATCAATGGATAACATTCTATTGTATAAATATACAATTTGCTGACTCATTCCCATGTTGACAGATATTTAGTTTCTCTCTAGTTTTTAGCTATCACAAACAGTACTGCTTTAGACATTCTTGAACATATCCCTGGTGAATGTAATAACTTTTTTAAGTAAATGCAGTCAAGTAAAGATCAGGTTATGTTATGGTCATTGATATGAAACAGAGGTGGTGGTACAGGCGCATACACAGAAATACATACACACACCCCAAATACTCACTAGTGACATATGTGGAGACCATTTCTGAAGTGTATAAAAATAACAACCTCATCTGCCTTTGGGAAGAATGTGGGAGGGACAGGGGACTCTTACTTTTCATTGTTTATGTTTTTGCACTATTCTAAATTTTCAAGGGCATCGATTAGGTTTGCAATATAAAATTATGTAATCGAAGGGGGGGAAATGTAGTGACTCTGAAGTCATTTAGGTACTAACTGCACATGTAGCCATTATTATAACATTATATTTATTTCCCTTCAGCTGTGCATTATCATTTACAAAGTGCTTTCCCAAAGTTTATCTCACTGCTTCTCACAATAATAGTGAGAGGAAGCATTTGCTGCCTATTTCTATGTAACAGACCTGTATCATGATGCACTTAATCTTCCCGGTTAACCTAGGAAAAGGGTGTCATTAAGTACCCCACTTCACTACCTGGAAGTCAGAGGCGTTGGGCGAGTCCTCAGGAATTGTGCGGTGTGTAAATGGTCTCTGGACCTTCGGTCAAGTGCAATTTTCACTCGTGACTGCCCCCCGCAGGGCCTGGAACATGCCTGGTGCCCAAACAAAGGGAGGCAAAGAAAGGTGAGGGAGGCAGAGACTGGGAGGTCAGAGCTTTAAGGGGCAATTCTAGAATGAACATGGGGCTTTCTGCCCCCTTCTCATCCCTAAATAAAGGGCATCTTCTTAATGGTCCCCCCAAATGCCAATGCTTTCTGCAGTAGATTCTTTAGGTCAGGGATTGGCAAACATTTTCTGTAAAGGGGCAGATGGTGAATATTTTAGGCTTTGTGAGCCATCCAGTCTCAGTTCAGCTTCTCAATTCTGCCTCATGTGTATGAGAATCAAGTAGCTATAGACGATACATTAATGAATGGCTTGGCTGTCTTCCAAAAAACTTTATTTAAGACACTGACATTTGAATTTCATATGCCTTACGAACGTCATATTCTTTCATCTTTCAACCATTCTAAAATGCAATGACTATTCTTATTCTTAGCTCATGGACTGTATAAAAGCAGACAGTGGGCCAGATTTGGCCCATTGGTTACAATTTGCCAACTTTTACTTTAAATGGATGTAAAAATAGGTTAAGATACAACCACTGAACAGAAAGTAATCAATATATAGTTAAAATGCTTTCATTTGCTAAATTGGGACCAAACTCAAACCAGTCTCGGTCAAAACAGGGGATGTAAGAACTCATAACTGAGAAGCCCAAAGGATTGGCATTCAGAGATGACCAGTGTAGGGGTTTCAATTGTATCAAGGTTCTCTTTCTCTCTCCCTCCCTCCATCAGTTCTCCTCCTCCTCTCCTTTCTTCTCCTCTTTCTCTTTCTCTGTTTCCTCCTCCTCTTCCTCCCTTTCCCTTTCTTTCTCCTCTTCCTTTCTGCCTTTTTCCCTTCCCCTACCTACTTCGTCTCCTCTTGGACATACTTCCTTATTCTCTTTAAGACTCTATGTCCTCCAGTGCTTGCGATCCGATTTCTTAGTCTAGACAAAAACTCTTCTTTACCAGTAGGGGAAACCCATTTGAATTATACTAAAATACACTATGCTCAGATGTTACTGCCTTTGTGAAACCTCCTCCCATGGTGAAATAAGTTCACCCCTGCTTCCTCCACTTAGCACTTACTCATCAGCCACTGATCAAGCATCTTGGTCCCTGTCAAATAAAAGGATGGGCACAAAATGATAAGTGGATACAGACACACCATCAAGAACTTCAGAGTCCAAAGCGGGAGACAGTTGAGTAAATAGGATGTGACAAGGACAGTACACGGTGCCCAGCTTTCCGTCAATCCTCCGTGATCCGTGGGATCTGCTCATTTGCTTGCTTACCTTGCCCACCTTGGCTTGGAGTGGGAGCAGAAGCATGACTGCCTTATCCTACTATTCCTAGCACCTAGCATTCATTAATAAACCTATTTCTTCATTCAAATATTTATTGAGGCTCCGCAATGTATAGATATAATACTGGGCACAGGAGACAGAGAAATAAAACCAAACAAATGCCATCTGTGTATGGGAAGTCCATGGTTTAATGGACAGTACCTGCTTCCGTGAAGTGCATGATGTCACGGACAATGCCTCAATTCCTTCACTTGTAAAGCAGAATTGTGATTTCAGCTAGCCAAGGGTCAAATTATACCACCATTACATGCTACTAACCATGGAAGCTTCAGAATGTTATTTACTCTCTGTGCATTTCTAAGCCTATAAAACAGGCATTAGGGTAGTAACCATCTCATGGGGTTATGATAAAGATAAATTGAAATAATGTACACAAAATGCTTAGCAAAGTTCCTGGGGAAAATGTTGGTTCAAGAAACATTATCTCATATTAACCTGTTCTAACCCAGAATCTGAAATGTAGTAGATGTTCAATAAATGGTTTTTGAATGGATTTTATTCACCTCTTGGAGCCTCTTAGAAAACTCTAATCCTTATAGCTTCCTGTTACCCCCCAATTTATTGTCACATGCCTATAAAATGCACATGATTTGCATTGGAATTCCAGCTTATTTAATAACCATATGCAAAGATCTCCCATCAGCTTCTCCTAGTATCCCCACGGAGGCCCCAGGCCCTTTTCCTTGGGGCTTCAGTTACACTAAAATTTTACGTACTGTTTGGGAATTATTATATGGACTTACAACTGCCCTCAGACTGCTCAGGTTGAATGCAGGGTGAGAGATATGGCTTCTTAAATATTTTTTTGTATTTTTTTTAACTTTTATTTTAAGTTCAGGGGTATAAGTGCAGGTTTGTTACATAGGTAAACTGTGTCATGGGGTTTGCTGTACAGATTATTTAATCACCCAGGTATTAATCCTAGTACCCATTAGTTTTTTTCTGATCCTCTCTTCCCACCCTCCACCCTCTAAAAGGCCCCAATGTGTGTTGTTTCCCTCTAAGTGTCCATGTGTTCTCGTAATTTGGCTCCCACTTATAAGTGAGAATATGCGGTATTTAGTTTTCTGTTCCTGTGTTCATTTGCTAAGAATAATGGGCTCCAGCTCCATCCATGCTTCTGCAAAGGACATGACCTTGCTCTTTTTTATGGCTGCATAGTATTCCATGATATATATGTGTCACATTTTCTTTATCCAGTCTACGGCTTCTTAAAGTTGAGTGTTGCTTTTAAAGTAGGCATGGAAACCAGCTGGTTTCCAACAGTCCCTGCCATTAATCATTATTTTGTTCAATAAGAAATAGCACAGTTCTCTTCCAAGCCTACAAGTTTTTATAGCCCCATCCCCATTTTCATGGAGCAACACACTCTGCCTATGATTTACGTTACAGCTTAATGACTTAACACCGATTAAAATAGTTGTTGCAGTTGGTAAAATCATCACATCATAATAGCAACAAAGATAACAGAAATGTGTTATCACAAGAATACAGAAAGTTGCAAGAGACAGTTGATACCACGTGAACAATGAGAACAAGACAGATGGACCATAAAATCAGTTTTTAAAGACCCACCAGAGAGGTAAAAATGAAACCAGCCTAAATGAATTAATTCCCTATGGGGATGAGCCTTATGAAAGCCTGGACCCAGCTCTAAGGCAGATCGGATCTACTCAGCTGCCAACACTTATATCCTAACAAAGGAAGAGGCACACCACCTTTCCAGGGGTAAATATTATTTCTTCAGTATCTACTGTCTTCATATAGGCAATATCTGGAATAGGATTAAAACTATGAGACATAAAAAGGAAGAAAAGGTGACTCATTACCAAGAGAGAAAACAGTCATTAGAAGTAAATGCATAGATAACCTAATCATTGAATTAACAGACAAGGACTTTAATATAACTATGAAAAATGTGTTAAAGGTCCAGTAGATAGGTAGAAAAATTTTGCAGAATATTCAAGCCCTTAAATAACAATTGGAAATGCAATCACTGAATAACACCATATGAAAAATTAATATTTTATTGATTTTATAGACTGGATATCGGAAGGATTTGGAAACTTGAAGAGAGGACATTAGAAGTTATTCAATCTGCAACACAAAGAGAAAAAAAGCAATTTTTAAATTTAATTTTTATTTTAAGCTCAGGGGTACATGTACAAGTTTGTTGTATAGGTAAACTTGTATCATGGGGGTTTGTGGTATAGATTATTTCATCACCCAGGTATTAAGCCAAGTACCCAATAGTTATTTTTCCTGATCCTCTCCCTCCTCCCATCCTCCACCCTTCAATAGGCTGCAGTATGTGTTGTTCCCCTCTATGTGTCCATGTGTTCTCACCATTTAACTCCTACTTATAAGTGAGAACCTACAGTCTTTGGTTTTCTGTTTCCATGTTAGTTCACTTAGGAAAATGGACTCCAGCTCCCTCCATGTTCCTGCAAAGGACATAGTCTTATTCTTTTTTATGGCCGCATAGTATTCCATAGTGTATATGTACAGTGTTTTCTTTACCCAGTGTACCGTTGATGGGCATTTCGTTTGATTCCATGTCTTTGCTATTGTGAATGGTGCCGCAATGAATGTAATATGCATGTGCCTTTGTAATAGAATGATTTATATTCCAAAAAGAGCAATTTTTTTAAATGTTAGAGAATGAGAACTGTGAGTCAATATGAAGTACTTAATATAAGTGTGATTGAAGCCCCCCAAAACCACAAATAAAGAATGGTGAAGAAAAATATTTGAAATCATAGTTTGAAATTACTAAAAAGGGATGAAAGACATCAATCTAGAGATCCAAGAATCTCAGCAAACCCCAAACAGGATAAATACAAAGAAACCTGCAACTAAGAATAACATACTCAAACTGATGATATCAAAGACAGAGAAGACATCTAAAAGTATCCACGGGGGAAAAACAAGATATTGTATACAGTGAAGCACTAAAAAGAATGTAAGCTACTTCACAACAAGAACTGTGGTGACCCAAAACAATGAAACAATATTTTTAAAAGGCTAAAAGAAAAAAACCCTCCTAATCTACAGTATACTATCCTGTTAAAATATACTTCAAAATTAAGAAATATAAAGACTATTTTATGTAGACAAAAGCTGAAAGAATTCACATCCAGCACATATGTGCTGCTAAAAAAAAATGCTAACATGTAGGATTATGAGAAATGATACCACACCATGAGCTGCTTAAAGCAGAATAAAACTATTGCAGGTCCATAAGATACACAGAGGTAAAATACACAACACTAAGAGGACAGAGTAGTGTAGGAAGTAAATGGAAGTATGTAGCTATAAAACATTCACATTGTGGCTGGGCGCGGTGGCTCATGCCTGTAATCCCAGCACTTTGGGAGGCCAAGATGGGCAGATCACAAGGTCAGGAGATTGAGACCAGCCTGGCCAACGTGGTGAAACCCCGTCTCTACTAAAAATACAAAAATTAGCTGGGCATGGTGGCAGGTGCCGGTAATCCCAGCTGCTCAGGAGGCTGAAGCAGGAGAATTGCTTAAACCTGGGAGGCAGAGGTTGCAGTGAGCCAACATCATGCCACTGCACTCTAGCCTGGTGATAGAGCAAGACTCAGTCTAAAAAAAAAAAGAAAAGAAAAAAAGAAAATTCACATTGTTCATGACATGGCAAATTATTCTTTGAAGATGTGTTTGATAATTTAAAGATAAATATTGTGGTATCTAGAACAACCACTAAAAAATGTTAAAAGAATTGCTTTCTTAAAAAAAAAAAAAAAAAAAGGAGATTAAATGGAATACTACAAAAATATTTAGTTAACCCAAAAGAAGATAGGAAAGAAGGAAGAGAACAACAAAGAATAAATGGGACAATCTTTTTAAACGACAAAATAATAGACTGAAATACAATCCTACTGACCACGACACTGAAAGTTAGTAGACTAAACATGTAAAAGGTAGAGATTGTCAGTTTCAAGGAAAAAAAATCAAGATACAACTATATGCTATTTACTAGAAACATTCTTTAACTATAAACATACAGGTTAAAAGGAAATGTGTGGATAAACATATATTGGGCAAAAAATAAACATAAGAAAATTACATTAATATCAGAAAAAATTTATATAAGTGATATTAATAAAGACAATGAGGGAAATTTCATAATTATGTTAAGTGTTAATTAATAAAGAAGATGTAACAGTGCTAGATATTAGGCAAAAAATAAAAGAGATTGTGAAAATTTAAGTAAAAATTGACAGGGAAATGAGAGAAACAGACAAATCCACAATATTAGTTACAGGCTTTACCACTTCTCTCTCAGTAATTACTAGAACAACTAAATAATAAATTTATAAGGTTATAAAAATTTGCTCAACACTCTCAATCAACTTAAGTATTTAAATACACATTGAATAGCTACCAAGATAGAGCAGTGCTGGGCCATAAAAAAAAGCCCCTGTAAATGCAAAGCATTGAAACGCACAGAGTATGTTCTCTAATTAAAATGATATAGCCTAAGAAAACAATATGATTTCTAGAAAACCTTACAATGGTTTCAAATTTTTAAAAATGCCTCTAAATAATGTATATCAAAGAATAAATGACAAGGAAAAATTGAAATTAAATCTACTGAATAACAAGACAAATAATGAAATATCAAAATTTTAGGATACTGCTGAATTGATGTCTAGAGGTAACTTATATCTTTATATATGTATATATATACTTAATGGAAGGTTTAAAATCAGTGAACCGAGCCTTCAACTTAATTAGCTAGAAAAAAGAACACATTTAACTGAAGGGAGTTAAATAAAGCAAGTGATTTTAAAATGAGTGGTAATCAAAGAAATAGAAAACCAAGAAACAATAGAGAAAATCAAAGGTCAAAGTTTGGTTCTGTGAAAAGATTAATAAAATTCACAGACTTCTATGAAGACTTATAAGAAAAAAAGAGAACATATAAATCACCAATATGAAGACCTTAAGAGGCAATATTACCAGACATTCTACAGACATTAAAAGAATAACAGGAGGAATGATGTTTTATCAACAAACTTAATGAGTCAGATAAAATGGAAACATTCTTTGAAAAACACAGCCAGCTGGCCAGGCGCGGTGGCTCAAGCCTGTAATCCCAGCACTTTGGGAGGCCGAGATGGGCGGATCACGAGGTCAGGAGATCGAGACCATCCTGGCTAATACGGTGAAACCCTGTCTCTACTAAAAATACAAAAAACTAGCCGGGCGAGGTGGCGGCGCCTGTAGTCCCAGGTACTCGGGAGGCTGAGACAGAATGGCGTAAACCCGGGAGGCGGAGCTTGCAGTGAGCTAAGATCCGGCCACTGCACTCCAGCCCGGGCAACAGAGCCAGACTCCGTCTCAAAAAAAAAAAAAAAAAGAAAAAAAGAAAAGCACAGCCAGCAAAAATGACACAAGAACTAGTATATCTAAATGACCAATATCTTTTAAAGAATTTGAATTTGTAATAAAAAACTTTCCAACAGTTAAATGTAATCCCAGATGACTTCACTGTGAATACTATCCAATGTTTGAGAAAGAAAACAATACCAAATGTATATACTCCTTTAAAGGGGAGAAAAAGGAAGAAGGAACAGTTCCTCCACTTGTTTTAGGGCAGCATAACCATAGTAGCAAAACATGACAAATCAAACAAATAAAATTACAGACCAATATCCTTCATAGTACAATTGCAAAAGTATTAGCAAATCAAATATGGCAATATATACAATTTATCATAACTGAGCAGGGCTTAACCCAGGAATTCTGGTGTTTTCAACATTCAAAACTCAATTGGTGTAACTCACTACGTAAATGAAATTAAGAATAACCATATAATTATTTCAATAAATGCATAAAATGTACTTGACAAAATTCAAAATCCATTATTTAAATAATTTTTTAAAACTTTCAGCAAAATGGGAATAGCAGAGAAATTTCAAAATCTGATAAAGGACATCTATGAAAAACCTAAGGTTTATGGTTTTATACTTACGGAAAAGGACTGCTTTCCTCTTCATATCAGGAACACAGCAAGCACGTCTTCTCTCACCAGTTCCATTGAACACTGTACTAGAGGTCTTAGCTGTTGAAGTAAGACAAGAAAAAATAAAGAAACTATAATCACTGGGAAAAACAATGTGTATCTGTCCCTACTCTAGACGTAATTGTGTATATGTAAAAAATGCAATAGAATCTGCAAAGAAAAAGTACTAGACTTAATTGAATTTAGAAAGGTTACAGAATATGAATACACCAAACTCAAGTGTACTTCCAGTATATAAGCAATAACAATGGGAAAACATTTTAATCTATATACATATATATTTATAGTTGCATCCCAAAACATGAAATACCTAGAATAATCTAACAAAAGATCTGTAAGACCTCCTCACTGAAAACTGTAATACAGTCATTTATCTCTTAACAAGGAGGATACCTACTGAGAAATGGGTCATTATATGATTTTGTCCTTACAGAAACATCATAGATTACACTTACACAAACCCAGATGGTTCAGCTTACAACACACCTAGGCTATATCTTGTAGAGCCTGTTGCTTCTGGGCTACAAGCATGTAACTATACTGAATGCTATAGGTGATTGTAACAAAATGGTGAGTATTTGTGTATCTGAACATATCTCAATACAGAAAAGCAACAGTAAAATATGGTACTATATTCTTGTGAGATCACCATTGATTATGTGCTTCCTCATGGACTGAAACATTGTATGCAACACAACTGTACATTGTATTGTAATAATAAAAATTAATTATAAAAACTAAATAAATGCTCACAGGCTGATCAACTAATATTGTTAAGATGTCTATTCTCCTCAAGTTGATTCATAGATTAAACACAGTCCCAGTGAAAATCATATCAGGATTTTTGCATCAATTGAAAAGCGAATGTTATAATTTATATGGAAATTCAAAGGATTTAAAATAGAATAATCTTAAAAAAACAAAGTTGCAGGACTTATAATTTCTGCTTTGAGAGTTGCATAAAGTTATAGTAATCTGGATGAGTTGATATTGGCACAAAAATAGAATACACATCCATCAGTGGAAAGAATGAAAGATTCAGAAAGAAACCCACACATTGATTTTTGAGAAAGGCATCAAGTCAACTCAATGGAGAAAAGAAAGTGCTTTAAGCAAATACTGCTGAAACAAGTGGACAGCTGTATCCAGGGGAAAATAAACGCTTGACCCCCACCTTGCTCCACTTCAAAATAATAATAACAAAACATGTAATAGACTGAAATGTAAAAGAAGGTTAAATGGGATTCATAAAAAAAAAAAATGTGCTATTTAAAAGACCCCATTTGGCAAATGAACACACAACCACAGAGAAGAAAAAAATATCCATAACACATTTGTCTAACAAAGGATTCAAATCCAGAATGTTTAAATGACTCCAAAAAATCAATAATAAAAAGACAAGCACTCCAATTAAAAGAGTGGGAAAAAGACTTTAACAGGCACTTCACAAAAGAAGACATAAAATGGCTAGTAAGCACATGAAAAGGCACTTAACCCCATTAGTCATTAGGAAAAACTAGATTAAAGCAAGATATGATTTCACATTCACCAGTAAGACCAAAGTGAAAGTGACTTGCCCTATGTTGGCAAGGACATAGAGTGACAGAAACTCTCACATGTTGCTGGCAGGAGGGTAGAATAGCACCTTGGAGAACTTTTTGGCAGTTTCCTATAAAGTTAAATATACAATTCCTTTATAACTCAGCAAGTCTACCCTCTTGAGATTCACCGAAGAGAGATGAAAATCTGTGTCCACAAAAAGACTTGTACAAGAGTGTTCATAACAGCCTTATTTATAATAGCTCATAACTGGAAACAACATAAATGTCCATCAACAGATGAGTAGATAAACAAATTGAAGTATATTCATAAAATGCTTCTTGGCAATAAAAAGGCAAGGACTACTGCTAATACACAATACCATGATTGAGTCACAAAAATAAAGTCGGCTCCCAAAGTAGGCATTCTGTGTGCTTTCATGTATATGAGATCGAAGAACACAGCTAAACTCATCTACAGTGACAGAATCAGAAGGTGCTTGCCTTTCTAGACTAAGGGTATCAACTTGAAAGGAGACTAGGGAACTTCTTGGTTGGGGGTTCATGGCAAAAGTATTCTACATCATGCCTTGGGTGGACGACTACAGGAGCACACACCATTGACAAAACTCATTGAAATCGATACTTAAGACTGTAAGACCTGTGCACATTATTGTTCATAAAGTAATCCTTTATTATAAAAATACTTTAAAATAATATCTAATCTCTAGATGCTGAATGGATAAAATTTAACAGAGAGTTTGCAGAACTGATGGCAGGTGAGTTAGGAGACTACTGCCATGATCCAAACCATTCAACAATGTAAGCTCTCAAAGAAATTCCATTTCTATCCATCCTAGCCTTTTGGGATGAGCTCAACCTTCTTCACTGGAAGCAAAGAAATGGAAGTCAATCCTTGCTAGAAAAGCCACCCTTCAAAGAATGAGAATGAGATCGCCCTTCTGCCAGTTTCTTCCTGCAAAATGATGCCGAAAGCATAGGCCACGCAGTGTTCCACTTTCTCGCATTGTGATGTTTTGGGGTTCACCTTATGTGTGATCACTAGAATGCACTCATTCTGAAATCCTCTCTTCATAACTTTTTCATTTTTCAATGTCTTTCTTAAATCTGACAATTTAATATTCTCTTCTATGAATTCAACATATTTCCGACTGTCATTTCAAAAGGGGAGGGGAGTGATAGTGAGTTCTCTGTCTCTGGAATGATTCAAGTAGAGTGGGGACAATGAAGTGTCTAGGGAAATGAGAAATGGTGAGGGTGAAGCTCTTAATGGAGGATGGGGGATAGGCTAATCACCTGGGTCCCTTCCAACTTTAAAATCTCTACTTTTTGGTCAAAGTCTTGATAAATGTTAATACAGTGTAAGAAATACAAAAAATCAGTTAATTTATACTTAATTTAATTAGCTAAATTTAATTGTACCCTGCATGTATTCTGTTGGACCAGAGGATAGAATTTTATGCATATCTACTCTGGGAGAAACTCTGAAATTCTCTTTGATCCTCTGCTAATTTTGCCGCTACAACAATTAGCCGTTGCTCAGCTGCTCTACCTTTCAGGCACAACCTGATGTTGATTTTAATTACTTACCCTAAGACCAAGGCAAAATGAAATACCCACTGAGTCCTATTCCAATTTCAGTTCATTTAATGCAAAATCTACTGCTTGCAGACTTGGACTTTGCTCTCTGAATTAAGCATCACACATTGTGAGGCATTTAAATATTAAGTTTCCTCTTTTCTTCAGTTCTCCACTCATGACCTTTCACAGTTATGATTATTAATTAGCCCAGCAGTCACTGCCTTCTATTGTTGTGGCTCCTCTCTGTAAGCCTCCCTAGTGGTCCTCCTAGGGGAACCACACACGTCCAGCGCGGGGTTCCAAGCACAGTTAAGTCCAGCTGAACCGCGTTTCCATCCTCAAAGCAGAGGTCTGGAGCTTTTGGTTCTATGGTGTCAAGGTATCACCGTGGGTCGTTCATGCTTTACATCTTCCACCTTAGGTCCCCTCTCTAACACCAGTTAAAGGATTTTTTTTTTAATCTCAGATGATTTGGGTAAGTGTAGATATGAGAAGCAGGAGCCAGACTTTATTTTACTTTTTCTTTTACCCACAGCCAGATCTAATGACCACAGATGATGGTCTTGACTGGAGTTCAATACTAATCTGGCTGAATGGATTTCTCGAGTTTACTTCATTTTTTTAATTCAAGCTCTAGCTTAAAAAAGAAAAAGTTTAAATGGCTCAATGCAATCAAGTTGCTGCATCATTCAATCCCTGTCAACAAACTGGATCTGTTTATATTTTGCTTTCCCTCCCGCTGGTCACCTGCAGGTTATGTCAAGCAGTAACCAAGGATCAAATTTATTTCCAAATGACAGCTAACAGGGAATAGGCAGATAGAGTTTTCAGGTATCTATGTATTTTGATAGTCTGCAAAGTTGCCTGAAGAAAAAGAAATACAATTCTTTATTTTTTAAAGCAAAGAAAACAGGGAACAACACACATTGATGCTCTCATAAGCAGCTTTTGCCCTAGTTTAGAAATCCACATTTCCTCCTACTTCAAGTCGGGAGGATCGCTTTGGTGCCAATTATCAGATAATTGGAATCCCCAAAGATCCTATTTGGGAGTCATGTGGGCCTTACGTTATTGTTATTCTGGAAAGGCAAGCTGAGGGAAGAAAACGTACGCTTTCACTATTCACGAAGACAAGTCATGTATCTAAGGCACGCGTTGTGTGTGTGCACACACCGCATACTAAACGTTCGGGGAACACGTTTGATCTCCACATGATGGGGCATATCATCCTGTCGAGCCAGATAGAAAGGATCTCCTGATAATGGAGAAGAAAGGAACTATATACAACACATGGTCATGGGCATAGAAATTGGGGCTGTCCTGGAGGTCACACACACAGCTTCTGTTTCCAGTCTGCAAGCGAACTGGCTGAGCAAACCCAAGCAGTCTCAGCTCCCAAATACAGGAGGCCATCCTATTCAGAGCATCTTCCCTTGGAATTGGCCACCATGCTAAGAGAAAGAACCATCTACTTCAGAACTGCTCTTGAGGTTCTGAACTTTGGGGCAACCCAAGCTTTTCCTTTCCCCTGGGTTATGGCACCTACCAGCCATTCTATAAATATTTAAGTGCAAATGATATATCCAGCCTAAGGCAAATTTGTGACTGAGGTCATCATTCCCCAGACCCCTTTGCCAGCAGCTGCCCACTGTGGGGGCTGCCTTTGGAGGCTGCAGTCTAGTCTTGTTAGCAGGGGTGGATCTGTACAAGTCTGCAGCAACTCAGTTCTTGCCTCGCAGAAGAAAGAATACAGCCAGGGGCAGAAGGCAGGGAGTAAAAGTTCACTAAACAGTTTAGAGCAGGAATGAAAGGGAGTACCGTTGGAAAGGGCCAAGCAGGCAACTTGAGAGATCCAAGTGCTCTGTCTGACCCTCAACTTGGGTGGGGTCTTGGATGACA